AGTGCAGCTACTACTTTGCTGCTTTGTAATACAGCACTTTATTGGAAAAATTCTGTTTTTAAAATGAATTGGTGACCTAGGTTTACATTATAAGTAATGTGCAGTACTCAACTTTTTGTGCATACAGTAATTCTATATATATATATTCCTCATGTTCTACATTATATTATAAGTAAAATCTTTTGTTTTCAAATTGAGTGGCATAATGAATTAAATAACAGTAAAGCTGAAACTACGATAATACTAGCAAAAGCTAACATGGTCCTGTTATCTTATTATGATTTTTTTTTTCTTAGTGAAAGCAACATTATAAATTAAGGCAAAGGCAAAGGCAGAAAAAGCAAATAATAGTGTCAAACGAGCAGAGAATCTAGGGTTATAAAAAGTGCCTGGATTTAAACAAGTTAGTGCGATAAAAGAGCTAAACTAATCTTAATATGTTAAAAGTGTCTGAATGTACAGAATGTACTTAAAAAATCTGTGTATTAATATGTTGTTAGGTTTTGATATGTGCAATAACTCACTAGCTGTTATTATATTAAGGAATGGGCTGGACATGATTTTCTGATCTATAAGATACTTCCCATCTTATAGAATCTTTCATAGTTTGCACACGCAAATATTTAGGTAAAATGTTTAATGTACATAAATATATGTATATGGAACAAGTAAAGGTTTATTCCATGCTGAAAAGAGAAGAAAGAAAATACAATGTTTCGGCTGTGGAGCCCTCTTTGGGTGAGAGTATTGTTTGTTACATATAATGTTTAAATGTTTAAATAATTAGGTATAAAAAATAAAAATGGGTGCATACTGCCAATTATACATTCACTACATTTACATATGATTAACACAGATTAACAAAGTGTGAAAATAAAAGTCGTCAGGCAGCACATGAGAAAGTGCCCTGCAGCCTCAAGACCTGTATCAATGTGCAGTACGGCGAGTGATAGTGCTGAAGAAGTTTAAATGCTGTATGTGGTGAAAACTATGACCCTTGTAACGAAATTGAATGCGATAAGAGCACATAAATCAAAGCCGAAGAAGGCATCTCCTATTGACAGATCATATTCCATGCATGCCGAGGAAGAGTCACGAAACCAGTACTGTTCGCAAAATGAGTGGGTGAGAAAGCCAACTCAAACTGTGAAAATCGTGTGTCACATTCCTTAGGGTACAATTCGACGTGCAAGGCGGCGGATCCAGAAGAGATCCGGTGAAGGAGCTAGCTGCAGGTGCTGCGCCATTTTTGTTTTTCGAAAACAGTAAGAAATGGCTGTCAGTGATTAAAAACATTTGCCTTTGCCAAGTGACATTTCCTTCCTGGGTTCACAGTGTCCATCACTCATTTACAACCATGCAATTATCATCATGGTACTCACTTAATAAACAAAGCACAGTTTGCATCATACAGTATACCTTATTATTTAATATTAGGTGTATATTATTTCTTATATTAAATATCAAATACTAATATGTATATGAGTGCGTATAAATAGAATATAACTTTACAATTGTAGTGGTACTGTACATCATGTCAATATGAGCACAAATATGTAAAGAACAAACTTGGACAACCTCACACTAACCTTCGCAGTGGTGTCTCCAGAGTCACTGGTGCTGCAATCCTCACCTGTCCCAGTGTTAGAAACCATCACCTGCGTCACTACCAATGGATTTCAAATGTCATTTGAAATAGAGCTATTTAAAGTATGTGTCTAATAAACAACGAGAGCCTGTTGGTAGCTGTTTGGGAACAATGTCTTTAAAATTATCATTTGAAAGAAGGCGGATTTGGCATCATTATATGGATCTAGCTTTCTCAATGCCCTGGAATGGTATTATAAAATAATTTCTATTGGTTATATCATGACATAATATTATATAAATATTACTATAGGCAGATAACACTACAGTACAGTATATTGAAAACGTCATAGGTACACTGTAAAGTGTCCATTTTGTTTTTTTGTAAATCACACTGGTCAAAGTGGGGGATTGTAAGATCCTGCTGATCTCAGATGGGTGGTAAATGAAAAAAAAACAACAAATAAAAATAAACAAAAAGAAACAGACATTAGGCATGAGTTTTACATACACATAACATCAGGAGTTCTGCCTAATACGAAGGTCTGTTTTTGTTTCCCACTGTTCCCATGCGGTCAAGTTGTCACACTAAGACATGGAGAGGACTGAGGTTAGAAGGACTGGAACTGAGAAGGACCTGTTCTTTTGGTATTAAGATCATGGTTCTTCACCTGCAATCCGAACTGCAAAATTCAAGCACAGCATCCGCAGTACAGAGCCCAGATCCTCAAAGGCTGAAGCTACTCTGGGGTTTCAGTCTTTAAACTAGCTACTCCAGCTAAGAAATGATCTGCTTGAGCCAATTCCACATACTTTTAGGGCTGTAATTCAGAGGATGCATAATAAACTATAAAGCTCAATGGATTGCAGCTCTCAAGGGTGATGACTGCTTTGGAGAAATTATCTGAAGATACATTTCAAGAAAATACTGTAGCATCATGAACAACTTAAACCACATTTGATAAAACAAAACATTCCCCTAACAAACACTGAGCCTTTTTTTCTTAAATCTTTCTCACAGGCCGAAAAGTTAAAAAGAATCCTAAATATTATCGGGGGGCGAAAAAAAATCCTTCTACAAGAATGTGATTTTAGAAACACTTCCTGAAAAGAGTAAAGAAAGAGGTGATGGTGAGTTTTGCCGGAAACTGAGCATGGTTTGAAAATATTCATGTTCTCTGAGGATTGACATTAAACTATCCATAAAACACAATATCAAGGATATAGCACATTGAACCCTTGCTTTAACGAACTTCGGACTTAACGGACAAAATTTGATAAAGGGGAATTTTGTCTGTAAAATCAGAAATAATGGACTAACTATTGTTACTACCTACTGTATTAGTCCTTTAAACTGGGGATTTACCATAATGTCAATTCATGGGAGTAAATAAAAGGAATTCATGCACAGCTACTGGACTAAAAAAAAACAAAAAAAAACATAACATTATCCATTAACATGAGCAACTGCACACTACCAATATCTTTTGTAGCCTGGCAGTTCTAGGATAATGAATAATATTCACAATGTTAAAGAAATATTCCAGATTCACACACTGGGATGTGTCCCTCAAGGAACAAAACAGACACACATATATAATTGAACATATATGTACAATACATACAGAATTGTTGTCCGTGCAATACATGAAAGTTTAAACTGACCAGAATAGAGCACAAGAAAGGGAATGAACTTTATTTAAAAAAAGATAAAAGATTTTTAACAGAAGGCAAAATAGGGAACAAATACAAACAGTAAATAACAACATAAAACAGAGTTTCTCCATCAGCAGTGAAGATGAATCTCATTACAAATTAAAGGAATAAGTGAACAAGTGAACATTTTGTTTGTTGGTGATTTTGATTTAGAACAATACGGAGCTTGATGACTCGATACATTAAAGAGTTGATCTGTTTCGTTTCTAATCCCCCAGGTGTTTAGGTGTTTTACTGTGACAATTCAAAATCAAAAACAAACAAAATGTATCACACTTACATACAACATGATTGATTGAAATTAAATTTTAACCCCCATCTTTTGTAGATAGAGCATGCTGTATCTACTGTACATGTAGGAAGTAGATGCCATTTACAGCTACATTGATTCAAAGGACTGTTTTTCCATCAGCTTTTTTATGCTTTTTCACAAAACTAGGCAAAAAGAGGGATGTAATCTTTTTTTAACAACTTGAAGCCTACGATAAAAGGTAAACACATCATGAGGGAATATGAAGGAAATGTTTTGTTGAAAAGCTTCCTTAACCATTTCTCCGCTCACTTTGTTATTTTCTGACAATAAATCAATTCACAGGCTGCCCTTTCCAACTTTCTGAGTAAAATACTAGCCTTTTCCTACATTCCTCAGCAAATGAATCATTTGGACTTCTCGCTTCCAAAAGGAATTTCCTGTCCAGCCTCACGGAGAAACTTCACTGCTGGATCCTAGCAGGAACTTGACAAAGCCTCGATTTAACCACAGAAAGACAACAGTGAGCCCAGGTTCTCTGTTACTGTGGAACATGCCACATTATATCATTTAGGTGTTTTTTCTGTTTTTTCTTTGCAGATGTTTGCAAAAGTTAACATTTATCTAGATTGTATTCCCAAAAAAATTCCTTGCCTTCATTAAAGCACTCCTTAGAAACAGACTGGACAATTTTACAGACACAAAATAAATAAATAGAAAAATACTTTTTGATTGTGAAAAACATCATGATTCACATTTGCAGCACAAGTTAAAAATAAAATTTCTTGTATTTTTACGGCCCTGGCTATGGCGTGGCGATGTTCAACAGCCTTTGCAGACTTTCACACTGTAGTCTTTATTTGTAGACATCTAAAACAGGCAAATGAATGCTCCACAAAAATAAATAAAAATCTCTCTGAAATAAAAAGGAGATAAAATGCACAGGTACAAGAATGTCTGCTGAGTCTGGCAGAAAACACTGGCTTTGCTATTTAGCTGGAAAACAGAAGGATGCAATATTTAGGTAAATTTTAAAGAACTGCTGGGAAACTAGTAATCAGGCTGTTCTTCCCAAAGCCAATTCTAGTCTATGACATTCTCCTCTTGCAATATTATATACAGAACATTGAGAACGAATGTTACAGAGACCACGACACAACTTCACAAACAGAATTTGTCAAGGGATTTCTCTCATCACCTTCTGACCACCCAAATCATGTCTGCAGCAGGCGAATCATTTGCACACAGCACAGGGACAAAATCAAAGCTTTGCCATTTATTCAGGGGCAGTGGGATAACTCAAGAAGACACTCACTGTCACTATGCTTTGTGCACTGGGAACCTGGCCTCTCAGCAGTGAACATGGGCAAGCTTACAGTATGTTCTGTGCACAAACTCAAATAATAGCTTTAATGACCAACCTTCGGGCAAAATCTTTCCCCTTTACCTGCTGCATAAATCCAGTCTGTTCCTTGGCATCACTTTGATTGCTTAGGCTTGCATCATCACTGTCTGGCGGTTCCTCTTTCACTTTAATAACTCCGAGGTGCGCTCCAGGGAAATCTCCTTCTGAGCTGCTGCTGCTGTTGCCGCTACGGTTCCGGCTGACGCCACAAGAGGGCGCTCTGTCCTCCTGCATTGGCTGATCCTTGTGATTTTCTTCTTCCGTTTCCTCCAGGTGGCTGTTCGGCTGTCGGAGCTGCTCAATGGACTTTGAAAGCATCTGAAAGGCAGAAGTGAAAAGTGGTTCAAACCGGGATCAATCTGTTCTGTAGAAGCACCAATATAGCTTTAGAAATAAAGCCCAAAAGGTATTTTTATCACAAATAATATAACAAAGGCCAATAATTATGGTTAGTTCAGTCATGTCAGAATGACCTTACAATGCCTGGTGGTGTATCTGGGCTGTAGAGTACTATAAAGAGCCTCATTACAGTGTGGCCAAAGTAAGATAAACTAGGACAACACATGAACACATTTCTGGCAGTATATGTGATCTCCAATACTTGACCTTTTCCTGTTATTAGTCCTAATGTGGATCCAACGGTGCCATAAAAAATTATATATACAGTATATAACACAAACATGGTGCTTTTAGGAGAGCATTCTTATAGGTACTTGGCTGAAAGGAAAAGTAGAGTGAGCCAATTAAGCTGTAAAATAATATTGTTTCTTTAAAAAAATCACTCTTTGTCATGTTAAAAAAAAAGTAACAGGAGCCAAACTGTGCAAAACGGAGCCAAACTGAAGTTTTACATGTTTTCAGGAAATTAAACGGTACCTAATTCACAGGAGCCCCCACTAAGAGCGCGCACACAGAGACAGAAAACGCATTAAAACAAGTCGCTGTGTAGCTGTGAGAGCCCAAACAAGGAGGACATCAAAGCCAGGTCTACCTGCCTAGCACGGCAGGAAGGAGGAACCAGCAAAGAGCTTGGCCTGAGAACACAGGCCCTTTATAAATATCCAGCAGAGAATCACCTTTCTTCTTCAAGCATTAGTAAGTGCTCTTAGACCTCCTTTTAAATCCATAAGCTCTTGTAAAGATCCATTAGCGTCGCCAACAATGCAGGTAAAATGTTGCTAAATGCAATGCCACTCTTGTTAATTTCACAGCTTGAGTTTAATTGGGGTAATGATTCAGAAATTCCAACTGGTAAACAAAGGCCCCTAATCCTTGATTAGGATCATTTATAGCTCAGCCCACTAAAGTGTTATGCTGTTGCCCATAGTTACAGCACCAAATGTGACAATTAACAGTTGTGCTGATTATTGGGGATATGATATTGACAAGTAGTCAAACTTTTACATGGGTCACAAGAGCACCATAAAAAAAACTGTTTTCCCTGTTAATTGTTTAAACCCATAATCGGACTCCTATAGTAACACCGGCGAGTAAAAAGCAGGAACATTTATTTTATCGCAGGTAAAAACCTATCCAATGCAGCACCCTTCTCCATAGCCTTGCCAGCTGGTACAATGCCAGCGTTGATTGAGTCAAAGTGAGGAAAAGATTATTTGTGCACTAATGACATTTTCTTAGGTGTCCCTTTCTCTTTATTCGAGCAGGGAAGAGCGGACAAAACCCTTACGTTCATCATTTTGAGCATTATGAGCAGGACTAGAAGAATACCAGTGGTAAAACTGAGATCCTCCAGAGATCAACCTCCCAGATTAAGTGTTTTGCTCCCTATGCAATACTGGGCTTATAGAAGCAGCAGCTTTTTTTCTGCAAAGACAGTGTGTGAAGGCCCATTGGGCATGGGCATGGGCTACTGTTGTGTCCACACAATGACTTCTTTCTCCCCTTTTGCTATATATACTCATTGGCGTGCATATTTACGGGGATAATTATGGCCAGTGCCTGGTCTGATAGCAAGGTCAAGGCATGCAGAACACAGAAACACAAATATTGCCATAAAGGAACAAGAGCTTGTATTCTGTGCCTCGGTTTCTCTGCTGAACTTGGTCGAATTCGATTACACGGGGTCACACACTTGTGCTGCAGAGACCCAAAGATAACAGAATTAGTGCGAGGTTTGCTTTTCAAATGCATTTGAAAGTTAAGGCCGCCTTTTCTTTCCGAGGTCCAGAAATGAAAAGGCGTGCAAGGCTCTTAGTGAATTAGCGCTATGTACAGATCACCACGGGATTTTCACCCGCAATGACAGAGTCTTAAAATAAACTGTTTTGCTTTTTTAATCATGAATTGTAATATGCAGGCTTCAAAGGGATTTGCCAGTTTGTTGTCAGTTTATTTTTAAGCCTTGTGTATCAGAAAAGATTGTATCAATGCTCACAGGAGGATGTCCTCTATACTGTACATGTTCAAAGTTTTCCATGCCAGTGAAGCTCTGTGCAGTTGCACGGGCACAGAACTCACTGATGGAAAGAAACTGTAGGAATATCTTTGCCATTAGCATGTTAGATAACGGGCACTTTTGCTAAATTTATTTGAGTTTTGGATATATATCACCTGCGGTTTTCAAAAGCATGGTTATCACCACAAGTCAGCTGCAGATTGTTATTTTTAGCATGGCAGGAATATATTATCATTAATATAATGTTGGAAAAACAAGCCATAAAGCAATAGCTTAAGAAAATAAAAATAGAAGTTTTAGAACAGTCTACACATGATTAGAAAAAAAAAGCTCTGCCACTGCTATATTATCAGTGTGCAACAATGATGAAATTAAAGGCCACTGCTGGCCCGGGTCTGGAAGCAACCGGTTACCTTGTTAATCTGGATCTGCTGCTGATACTGTTTCTGCTTCTCCAGAAACTGCTGGTGCTGCTGCTGGATAACAAGCTGGGCCAGGGTGCTCTGGGGCAGGGGGGCAGACTGCGTCCTGTTCAGAGGCCGGTGGCGCGGCAGTTTCTGCCTCCCGCTGGACACAGGCCTGTCCTTCATTGCCAGAGGGGACTGAGGCAGGACAGGAACTGAGCCTGGACCTGCAGGACAGAGAGAAAATCACCCTACAGGAGCTGAAGCAGGAAGCCCCAGTAAATATTCCAGGCTTGGATAGAAATGTATCCTTAGTGTACAGTATGTTTCCACCCGGCAATCATTTCACCTTTGTAAACCCTAAAATAAAGCCTTAAACCAATATCCTTTATAAATGTAACTTGAGCCAGTGGGTCCTGAAAATAGAGAAAATAGAGCCTGAATATGAAATCCTGTAAACTATACATACAGTATGTATGTCAACAGTACAGTATGTCAACTGTACAGTACTGCACAGGGTGGCAATCTGATAAGACAAGAGAAAGGGTGTGCCTTTCTACAGGTAGAACAGTGTTGAATTCTGCCCTTCAAAGCCTCCTGTCCTTAAGGTTCACTTGTACTCTCTCTTTGTGGAAACGTATTCATCTCTCTGATAACAGCTGCAGACATTTATTCAACCTCTCTTGCACATTTGAATTAGAGAATTTGCACCGGTGAATCACCACTTGGTGCTTTCAGAATCATAAAAGCACAAACATTTCAGGGGAACGTACCAGAAGAGAGCATCTTTTGCTGTCGCATTTGTTCTTTTAACAATAGATGCTGCAGGAGCGCCTGGTGACTGTTATTCACTTTTGCTTCCAAGGCAACAGGAGGAAGACCTGACTGAAGAGGCACCCCTCCGACATACTGTCCTGGCAAGGGCTGCCTCATGGCCTGCACAGCGGCCTCTCCGGGCTTCTCCTTCAAGCTGGTGGCAGCCTGCGCATAACAGCAACAACAACAAGAAGATACTTATATTCTACTGCATGTATTACATCTCATTAGGTGTCTAATAATAGAAAAGTATGGTACCACCGTTTAAAAAATAAATTTTATTTACACAATATGGTGTGCTTAAACAAGGTCAAATTCTAATCTCCACCCTCTTATGGCCATCATTTCTGCAGCCTTCCTCCCATCCCAGCTGCCTCCCTGGTGTCAGTGCTGATCTCTGACCAGTATTGTCACTTCCTCAGCCAGGTGAGTTAAAACCAAGGAATTAAGTACTTTATCCCTTTATACTCATCAGCACCTTTCATCCTTAATATAATTTGACCCAGCTACTGAAATATATAATATGGGAAATGCTTTGTCACTCCAGCCTGCAAGGATATTTCTTTTGCTTGTGTTTTGACAAAGGCTTTAATGTAGTTATTGCATCATGATGGCATAAGAGCAGCATACTGGCTCTGCTTTTGTTAGGTTGGCAACTAATAAAAGTTTTGGGGATTTTTTTGTGGAGAGCTGGAAATACAAATCCAGTGCTTGAATGCTTCTCGCTAAACAAAAAAAAAAAGAAAAAACTGATCCATTGCATGATGTATTATCTACAGTTAAAACAAAGCATACAATCACTGCAATGTTTTAAATGCTGGTGATGAATTAGGTGATAAAGAGAGATAAGAGCACTGCCAGAACTGGACACTGGAGCTCCTTATTTATCTAAGGGATATAAAAACCACAGGGGTGAGAGTTCACTGCCCTGAAGCCATACATTAATCCTGTGTGCCACTGCCTGTGGGTCTCCCCTCCACCAGCCCCCAAGGCTCCTGCCACTGCAAACAGGAACAGAAGGTATTCTCCAAACCGCACGATCACTAGAGCTGAGACCTCTCATCAAAAAATTGTGTGCACAACGAGAAGCACTAAGAGGCTCCGAGAGATTCAAATGCATGAAAAAAAAACACTTCAGCTGATTGATCTACTCACCTGCATTTCTTTTCCCCCATACTTCAGTTTTGTAAGAAACAATAACTTTGCAGTATGCAACTATGCAATTCTAAAAGTCCGCAAGTCACGGTTGCAATAACTTACATTAATTGGTGAGGACACAGCTGGGAGTCCCAGGGTGATATTGGGTAATGAAGGGGATGTGTAGAGACTTAGTAAGGTCATTGATTCTTCGGGTTTCAAGACTCTTTGATGTGAGAGGAGACGCTGCAAGAGATAAATGGCATGCTTCAAAACTCGGACCCAAGGTGGCTGGATTCCAGAAAGACTATATAAAATAAAAGTGACTTGCAAGAGACTGTGGAGATATTATAGGCATGGCATATCCTGGCTCTGTAACAGAGAAGAACTGGTTGCACTGCGATATCTAAAGATACCTTCACCACCAAGCCACCCACCCCAGTATACACATCCCAGTGGGGATCCCCGCTCAAACACACTTCCTTTATTCATCAGAGCCATCCTTCAGCATGTGGTTTGAGGATGCCCTTGTTATTTCTTGCCACCCCCAGTAGTCATTATACAATGACCTGTATGTGGGACATCCGCTCGATACTTGGCCCTGGGGAACAGTTGTCTCTGAAAACGAATACCTAATGTAACAGTACAACAACATTGGTTGCTTATGCTGCAAACAGGAAGCATATGGGAGACTCCTGATGAACCAGTGCTTTCGGAGAGATAGTTTACGGGGGTTTAAGCTTGTGTAAATATAATAACAGTTCAGAATGTTGTTAGAATCTAGAAGCCAACCGACTGCGCCTGGAATATCAATTAACCTGGAGAAAGACACCCCCTGTTCACTCTTCGATCTCTAAGGCTCTTCTACAATTTCACTGAAGGTTCATGGGAGAGTAAACATTGCGCCTGTTTTCCAAAAACACAGCCGGTCAGTAAAGATTGTTTGGAGATGCGTCATATTAGTCACTTTCAAATAATGTACGCTATTGTGCCTGCAGTCCCGAGGAAATGTTCACTCGCAAGAGCAATAAATCCACAAGGGAGTGCCTGAGCAGTGCCTCAGAACACACAGTCACTGGCATGGTAAAGAAATACGCAGTCATCTGATGGAGAAAACAAGGCCATTTAGGTTTTTTAATTATTCTTTTTACTCAGGACCAAATTAGAATTTAAAGACCCAGGATGAATTTATTTTTATGTAACAATGCTGAAACCTAGGAAGGACCTGAGTAGTTATTTTAACTCACGATACGGAATGTTCAATTTATTCTCAAGCGATCTCTGTTACTAAATACTTTTACATTAGAGGCTGAAAAGATTCAAGTCAGCTTGCCTTCCCAGTATCACTTTCTGTTTCCCTTGACAGGAAACATATTTCCATAAGAGCATGATGGAGGGAAAAGTGATGTATCCTTCTGACAGGTCGCGTATATATATAGCATGCGCTCTGCCTAATCCGAGCAGTGAGTATGTGTTTTGCTGTTCTTTAAATACCAAAGAAACACCTACACTCACTCTTTGAAAGTCAAACCCAGTAGCCCACTAGGAATATTAATATTATGAGGATTAATAATATGTTTGCTCAAGATAAAGCACCTACATTAATATCTATTTTTACATGCTAGAGGAGAATAGTGCATGAGATTGTTGTGTTTGTAAAAAAAGAATGAGTCATTCGGAAAGCCCAAAGTAATGATCTAATAAAGGCTTTTTGGTGTTGTTCAAACGAATCTTTTTTTTCCACAAAAGAAATTAAATCAGAATGCATTGAAATTTTTTTGCAGAGTTTCAGTGCCATGCATAGGGAGTCCAATTGAGCGGGTCATGATGACCAATTGAGCATTGCAGCCTCTGACAGTTAATACAGCTCTTCAGAGCCCACCAGGTCCAGACAATGTTCCATTCACAGCATCAACAGTCACTAAATCACACTGCATTTGTAAAAACTATCTGCAGAAACTGCAAGTACTCATTTGTAAATCTATTCATATTTTAAAAAGTACAAAATACATACTGTACCTACAGTGTACAATGATTCAATTTAAGAATGGATTTGATCGTGAAAATCAATCAAAATTGGGTTTAGTCCATGCAGTTTTTAAACAAACAAATTGAATTTTCCTTGTTACAGCTGTGGCCCTCAGAAATGGTTCACAGTGTTCTCAGAAACAAAGGGGATCTTTCTGACCTGTGTTCAGGAGTAAGCTCAGGAGTGTGCTCAGGAGATGTGTTCTGGTGTGTGCTAGGGGGTGTGCTCAGGGGTGTGTTCAGGAGTGTGCTCAGGATATGTGTTCAGGAGTGTCTTCAGCAGTGTGCTCAGGAGTGTGTAAACTAAGTTCTCCCACACAGTGGATCTGTTCTGACTGCACTTATGGTGGATGTCCTGACCTGCAGTTCGGTTTAAAATATCGTATAGTTGAATTATTTCTGATCATTTCAGACTTGATTTTTGGTTTTCCATCTACGGAGAGGGGTGTGTTGAGCCGGAGCATGGGCTGAACTGTACCTCAGTCTGAGCCGCAGTGGGCAGCGAGGAGGGTCCGTTCTCAGCCCCCACTGCAGTGGACACGCTGTTAGGAGAGCTGGGTCCTGATCCTGGGACACTGCTGCTGGGGGTGGTGTCTGTGCCGAGAAGCAGATGCAGAACCCAGAAGTGAAAGCAGAGCAAAGCAACAATTGTACCCTTTCAAGAAGGCAGAATCAGGGGCTGAAACTGACTGACGCACGCAGCATCTCTACACCCAGGCTTTCCCTTATTTTTTCTTTAAGATCGTTCTTTGACAGCAATCAGATCCCATGTAGTGGGTTGTCCTGCTTGCTAATGGCCCGCTGTTCTCCCATGAAGAAATCAGTACTGAAAGCCCACTGGTGGGCAAGGCAAGCAGGACTGCTCTTAGTAAAGAGGCAGATCTACACTGTGACGGACTTGTTACATAATGAAATCTTTCACTGGATGCACCAGTCAGTTCAGCGTAATACACTGGGCCTCAAAGGGCCACACCAAAAGCACTGAGCGACACACACTGATGTACAGCATGTCTAACTGTTTCTAAATCCCTAACAGAAATAATCATTCAAACACCTCTGACATGGTTATAACATCCATCCATCCATTTTCTAACCACTTTATCCAGTACAAGGTCACAGGCGGAGATTCCAAACAATCTAAGCAGATTTGGAATCTCAACAGGATGTAACAAATCTCTGCAAAAGCCCATTTACAGCAGGCATGTGATACGCGATACGTGCGATATGCAGAAGTGCAAATGGTCTTGGAAATGGTAGGAAATGGTATTTTCTTACCTGTCAATTCAAATGTCCTCTTTTTGTATGAACTGATTACATTTCCATCTTTCCTTCTTAGTAATGGGCTGCTTCTTCTCTCTGCTACCTTCTGTTTTAATCTTGAACGCACTTTCAGGTTGGGTTCAGAAGCTGGAAGATTAAGAACAAAACAATTGAGCACTTGCACCTGCTCAAATCACACCTCGTAATGATTGCAGAATGCAACTACAGAGGTTTAACGATTCTTGCAAGTGAAACCAACACACTCAAAGTCCTTTTTTATATAAAAAATCACCCTGAACAGCCTTTTTTGGGCAATGATATATAAATGAAACAGGATTGTAAATTTGTTCTAAGTCATCTGGAATAAATTAGTCTCACCAAAACAGTGCATAAGTGGATAAATCTGCTACCTGCAGCCCTCAGTGACCACAAGCCCTGATACAGTAGCAGCACTTAAACTAACAATGGCCAGCGTTATAGCTTTAGCAGAACACCAGAAACCCTCGTTCTTAATCTGAACCAGAGATGTTAGGAATGAATCTCTACTACATGGTTTAGCACTGAACTAATCAGGACAGGAACCTGAAGTAAGTAAAACTGACACTGTTGAAACACTCTTAACTCAGGATTAAAATAGTCTTTAGGTAAAACAAGTCATTGCCCTTTTATAAAATTATAAGGTGCAAAGACAAGTAAGTGGTATGTGTTCTCAGAATTGAAGCAAAGGAGATATAATTACCACTGAATTAAAACTAATTCAATCAATAGAACAAGTAATGTGACATTTTCCTTAGCATTTGGGAAGCTGTAGTTAAATCAGAATCTTCCAGAAAAATCTGCTTATCAGGCACTGTCTGACTGATAACCCCTTCGATAGAGCTGAAAATGAAAATAATAAAATAACGTACTTTTTATCAGCCAGAGAGAAGAGTCTTTGGAGACACCGTGTCACTGCATGATTCTTTTGAGGATTTTTTGGTGGGGCAGTGGATGACAACATTGTTTATTATTTGTCGGCAAATTGCATTTGGATATTTTTTTTTATATTTCTGTGAAACGGAGGCACGCTTGCAGGTTCTGAATGTCTAGTTTTGATTCATATCAATGATATAAAAAGACATCATTATCTGTCTGGTGCTGCCTTGTGAGTCTGGCTGAGTGAGTCTGGAGTCAGTAATGAGCAAACGAGGAGGCGCTCTTCACCATGAAGAGGGGAGGGCCTGAACACACCTCCTGCTAAATACCATGATAGTTCGTTCAAAACGATGACCGTTTACTAACAAGCACAGAGGACTGGATGAAATTTGCACCACATTAAACAGAAAACTATGGAGAGTTTTACTGACATTTAGATGATGATGGTGTTTTGGATTATTGTGCGGTGAAGGTTTTTCATACACATATCCAGACGTACTATTGGTCTGGAGGCTCAGTAAATTAATGCAGGTCACCCCAGTGAGTATGTCACAAACTCCTGTGCCCTTCTCTGCTTCATCCCTCATCCCTAGTTAAAGCAACGTCTCGCCTGGTTTTATTGAGACATAGTTTTCCCTTAGAGAAAAGAGACACCGTACAGTAGCTAACAAGGTGCTGACCGCTTGTGCTCTATGTAGGTGCAGAGCCCAAAACCGCCGGCAGTATCTGATGCTGTTGAGAAAATCTATGTGCTGCTGGCTTAATTACGACGCAGAGCGTTAATTCTATTTATACCATCTCTCAGCTGCAGAGCAGCAGACAGTTTCCAATCCAGTGGTTTCCTAATGTGATTCAAGTCCTGCGGCTGTGGGAGAGAGCTCTTCAGAGCCGGCTGGGGAGCTGCATGAATCTTTTTCATGCGCGGCTGCCCTGATTGCTTTCTATTTTTATAACACCGCCATCATGCTCGGCATCCAAATCAGTGGCTTGAAAAACAGGCAGGAGCCCCAGAAGCAGGTATGTCTGCTCTGCATCCTCAGTGTGACGGCAGTGCAACAAGAACTCGGGATTTGAAAAGAGATTTCCACTCTGAAGCAGACGTGCAACACCTCATTCTTTCAGACAAACTGCCTAAGGTTTTCAGGGCTTAATAATGATAATAATAATTGGATTTGTGAGTGAGGCCAGAGGTGATATCTCTGTGAAGTACACCAATTTTTAACATCTCGACATTAATTTGGTTTAATATTTCCATTTTATTACGTAACAAATCAAGGATTCTCACAGTTTTACAGTCACTGCCTTGGCTCATTATTAACAGAAATTTTATTAACATGCACTAAGTCACATGAGTGCCAGGATAAATGCCTTTACCAGGTTTTACTCCAGTCTACTATACACCACGATTTATAGTTCAAGAAGTTTTTTGTTTTACTTTTCAAAAGCCCAGACAAGGCAGTTATTTTTGTGCTTTGCTTGAAACTTGGTATTGCTGAAAAGAATAAATTCAAACACCAAAAACAAATAAATAAGGGCACACAGAGCTGCACTCTGTCCCATAAGCTCGAAAAAGAAATTCCACCTCTAGGGCCCAGTGAGGACAGACTATAATTATTCTTCTTACACAAAAGCAGTCCCGAATGCCCATAGGAGGCTTTAGAAAACTGGTTGATTTTAATTGTAAACTACTGGCTAAACATCTAACATTAAAATAGCAAAATTCACCTGTTTTGGGGTTGTTCTTATATTGACATGTATATTCTTTCTGTGCAGTAAATCAAGTTTATGGTCAGGTTTAATCAACCCAAATGAAATGAGGGGCTTGAAGGATTATGTGATCATCAAAATCCTCTTAATGATCTTAGTGCCTAAGATTTCCACATAACAACAGAATGATGTCGCTAAGGCTGCTTAATGAAAATAAAGAAATAAAAACTAAAAGGATACAAAAACATGTGCCAAGACATGAAAGCATTATACTTGAGAATACCACTCTCTGAAGCACAAAAGAGAACTTTATTGTCATTTGTGACATTTAGAGAGAGAAAATATCCTCTATGAAGGGTATTTACTGTCAAACGGCTACTCATCCCCTTCTGTAAATGAAATAACACTAAACAGGTCAAGACACACAGAAGGGCCACACTTCTGTGGGTCACTAAGGCTGCCTCAGCCAGTGCTCCATTCCACATGCCACGACCTGAATCTATTCTGGTCATAGGCTATATATAAGGTAGATGACCGGCAAGCAGAGATTTACAAGAATAATCTACTTTGCAGTGGCTAAGCTTCTTTTCTGGGTAATGTGGCCAGACCTCTTTCACTGGATTATTGTCAAATACTGACCACAGAAATGTGCCTGTCTTTGCTGTTTGATGAATACATGCTATAACGCAAGACTCATTTTATTCCACGCAGCTGCAGACATAGCTGTGAACAAGGACCTGCTTCAGGCACAGAAATCATCACAAGTCAGTTTGGATTCCTACAAACGTATCTGATTGAGAAATAAAAGGCTGGCAGCGCACTTTTACTGTAAACCACAGTAACGGAAGCACAGAGTGACAGAGAGAATAGCTAATCTAATCACAGTTAATTGATGAGAAGTGTAAAAAAAATCCTTTGACATGGACCTGGTACTATAGGTCAAAACAATTAGGACACCGTCATAAATTTATTAAAAGTGTGCTGGAATGTAATAGGGTTGTACTACATGGTACTAGGAAAAAAAACAAAAAAGAAAACTAATATAAAAACTAATGTAAAAACATAAATCAACCTGGCTGTAGGTGTTCCTCCACGACAAAACAACAGCATCATTGTAAAATTCTTTTTATTCTGCGGTGCTTTCAATCATAAGAGCTTTTGTGAATTGTTTCACAACAGAAATATGCACCCTAATGAACTTATGCCATTAAACCAAAACATTCATTGACCTGAGGGCTAACAGGAACATCTAATGCCCTATGAAATGATCTGTTGTTTCATCGAATTAAAAAATAATGAAAAAACCTACAGGTGGGCAGGTGTAATTGGACACCAGTAGTCTAGTATTTTAAAAGTAGGATATGTTTACTGTACAAACTGTTAACAGAGGGCAAAAGTATTACAGCAGAAAACAATTACATTCGTCCATTAGACAAGTGAGAGGTAAATGAAAAGTACATTATCTTCTGCCCCTGTTTTCAAAGAACTGATGGAAACAGCTGACTGGCCACCTAGCTGCTTCCTTCTGATACCAGTACTGGAGAGGCTAAAGGCTAAGTCTCTGAAGGCAGGGAAACTCCACTTCTGCTCAGATCAGTAAAAAAAAAATCTATGGAACATTTTTCAATGCTTCCAGGAATAAAGGCACTACAAGTCCACCGTGCTATTAATAAATCCAGAATGCGGCATTAATATTTGATTTATCCTTCAAAGGGTTCAGTGATAGAGCCTAGAAATACATTTTAAGGGACTTTTTCCCTAAAAGCCTCTCTTTCTTTGCGGTAGAGCTGGTTAAAGCTGTCCAATTAGAAGAAAAAGTGTCAGATATGCTGAAGCAGGTGTCAGACAGAGAAAACTCCTGGAGATATTTTGGAGCAAAGGCAAAAGAGGCAGGGTAATAAAGCACACGGCGCTGTTCGTCTCAAAGAACCTGCTTCACACACAGCTCAGGCAGTGAGTGAAATTACACAGCTATTCAGCATCGAGGGCTGGGGAACATCTGATACAGTATGCACGCTGTAGCCGATGTCCATTTTGAGAGCTGTTAGCACAGTACGTGACAAATGCAAGTGCCACAATCATTTATCTAAATGTGTAGGACTGGATGAATGTTAAAGCATAACAGGACAGATTCATCACTAAGAAAATACTTTTGAAGGAATACTAAAAAAATAATGTCCCCTGGCTATTGTTATCTTTTGTACCATATACTTCTTTTTCTAATAACACTATCATATACCCCCTTGTAGTTATTCTTAAAAGGTTGCACAGAAAAGTGAATATTTTATTAAAAACATCAGAAGGAGGCCTGCAGTAATGTTATTCCTTAAGAAAATACTGTTGTTTGGGCTAACTGACACTTGATGAATATTGGCTATTAGAAAAATACCACAAAAATATTTGTTCAGCAGTTAGAGTAAAGGTTTTACACGTATTTAATTTGATGAGAAAATATATATGGTCTACATCTATTGTTTATGTAAAGGGCTGCTACTAAATAATGTTCTAACTGCCCAGTCATCGTG